ATGGAGGCTAAACGTGGAGTTAATATGAATAAGAATAATGCTGAGGGAACATGATAAAACTTAATGAGATACTGCACTTTAATATTCAACTGACAAATTTACATAGTAGAGGAACTTTTTTATCAATGTCAGCCAAACAAATTGTGATTCTATGAAAAATGGTTCAGCTAAGTTTTTCCCCTCTCCTCCTTTTAACCTATACAATGGACATAAATTTCAAATAATTTCTTCAATGTATACATTATTTTGTACATGTAAAACTTTCTATTTCACACACATGACCAAACAAAAATATCAATTACTTTAACACATCATCTCTCAGAATACATATCATCATATAAGTACATATAGTAAACATATAATATTATGTTCAAATTTAAAATTAAAATTGAACAAAGGGGTTTTGAAAGCTATATCTGCTTCTCCAAAATATTCTCACACTATAGAATTGTTTCTACTTTTCCTTCTCTTTGAGATCATAGTCTTCAAAATATAGCAGAGACCTTAGTCTTATTTACCAATGAGAAATACTTTGAGCAAAAGTAGTCTGATGCCTTTTTAATGGCTTTTTGTCTTAAGTGCTGTTCTAGAAGGCTAAAAGTTCTTATATGTGCACATGTCCAAATTCAGTTACTATAAAAAAATAACTGAGACTGGGTGACATCAAGAAAAGAAGTTCATTTTTGGTTCATAGTGCTGGAAGTCCAAGGCCAAGAACTAACAAATGGTGATGAATTTTTGTCTGGCAGAATCCCAGGTGGATAAGGGTACCATATGGAGAGACAGCAAGCATTTGTATGTGTGTGTCCTCTGTTCTCCCTTCCTCCTCATCTGTAAAATGGTCTTAAGAAATACAACCTCATAAAATTGTCATGAAAATGAAATGTCATCAGGAGTACAGATTGCTAGGCAACGTGGATGCACTGCATTGAGAATTCTACAAATGATATGTTCAATTTTTATTTTTATAGTTAGTATTATCATTATTCCAGGAAGCAAGAAAAATCTCAGTAAAATCCAATATGTAGGCAAGCTCTGGTATATAGCTATATATATATATATTATATGGAGCTTCCAATATTTGGCACTTAGAGCATAATAAAAACCCTCAAAGCTGTAAAATCAAAGTTTTCAAGAGGATACAAACACAAGATAAATAAAGGCAACTAACTGATAAGGTGAGAGCATTGACATTCATACAGTTACTCTTTCAATTCCCATCCAAACTGCTTATAGGAATGACTGCATAGGCTGTATCTTTTGCTGTAAAATACAGCTGCCAAATCTGTATAGAAAAAAGAGGGTGAATTTGTAAAATAGCTAATCTTTTCAACCTATGCCAAGAAAAGGTGATAATTTTCATTGCTCTCAATAATATACAATTTGATAGCAATGAGGAAAAACACACTGTAGTGCTTTTATAACTACTATATAATTACAAAGAAGATTTAATGCCACGCAGTCTTCTAAATAATTAAGATTTCACTCTTACTAACAAATTCTATCAGAGAAATTGATTTTATAATGTTTGAAATCACTATTTTCGAGATGTGCCTTGTTTGTGAGAGACCCTCTTTTTTTTTTGATCTTCTTTATTTTCTCCACAAACCCTCATCTCCCTGCCAAATGTGGGCCTGTCTCTGACAGACATAACATCAGTCATTCAGAGTTCAGGGTCTGGCATCAGGAGGACATGGATATAGATCCTCGCTCCAACAATTCGCTATCTATGCTACCTTGTGCAAATCATATAAACTCCCTAAATAACACCATTAAAATCGCAATAATATCAACCTTGCAGAATTGTTGTGAAGATTAGATGAACAAGTACACGTTTGTGCTTGGCACAAAGTAAGCACTCAAAGTAATGCTAGCCTTTATTAGTTATTGTTGCTGTGTTATAAGCAGCTTTTGAAATCCTGCTTCCTGAAAGTTTTTCATACAAAGAAGAGACAGAATCTGCTGGGTGACTATGGTATATAACAGACAGAAGTCCTCCCTCTGCTGGGAATTGAAGAACAAGGACAGCAGAGTACAACCTTATCATGCAAATACAAAATTGTAGGGAATAAAAATTTATATACTAAAATTACAAATAAGAAAATAGGAAAAAGAGAAATATGGCTATAGTCTTACTACCATAAAAGAATCACTGTTTTTGTTTTTTTATAAATCTGTTTCTAGTAAGTCTTAAGAACAATTTTTGTTATAGTATAAATAGATACAGTACATATGCAATAGTGTGTCTTGCTTTTTTAAAATCTGTTAACATATCACCAACAGGCTCTGTATCCATATTTTTACTACTATTATTTTTATTGTCTTCTGTAACTTTTTATGTAATTGATTCTCACTGAAAACCCATCTTCTCTATCTCAAGCTCCCCAAGTCTTTCCTTTTCTCTGAAGCTGAGCCTATATACTTTTTATTTCACATGTTCTCCCTTTATCACTTCAATTAGATGAAATGAAATAAAGCAGGAGTAGATAATAGACACATTCTAGGCTCAGCATGACATTAAAGACAGCATAGAATTTAGGAAAGGCATAATAGCCAAAGTGACCTCTGAGTGAGCAGGTCTTCAAAAATGGGTCATCCTACCCTAGAATTGCTCTGTTCTGTCAACATTCTCACTTGAATTTAAGGCCCCAGGATGATGGCTCACTTGTAAAATACTTATCTAGCATGTGGAAGGCCTTGGGTACCACATACACACACACACACACACACACACACACACACACACACACTTCCTAATTGAAGATACTAAATAAGTGTAGTCTAGCTAACCAAAATGTATCACACAAAAGAACTCATTAGCTCCTAGAACTTAAGCAAACCACTCAACTAATGCAGCCAAAGTTTCTTTTGTCTTTTTATAAAACAAGCATGTCAAAACATTGTCTTATTTTAAGGAAAGCATAGTCTGATCATTTTAATTTAATTTATAATATCAGCAAAGTTTATGAATCAGCATTGAAATTTATGAGACTAATTCCAGCTTCATCAACTATAATGTGAGGATAGCAATACTGCCCTCAGAGAGTAGTCATGAGAATTTAATCAAATAAGGCATATGAAAAACTGGGAATAATATGTGATGACTATTTTTATTATTATTTTCATAATTAGTACATATACCCAAAATAAAATTCATGAAATGCCATAATTAGCTTCTAAAATCTAATTAGAGAAGACTGACACATGAAAATGTAAGTGGCAATATGGTGGCCAAATAGGTAGAATAGATAATGAGTACTTTGAAGAAAAGAGTTCAGGAAGCTTTTTGTGGAAGGTTCTGGATTAATGGGGGATTATAAATGCAAAAAAAAAAAGAAAAGAAAAGAAAAGAAAGAGAGCGAGAGAAAGAAAGAAAGAAATGAAAAGTTCCTTAACAGTTGCAAGCAGGTTCCCAACATAATATTTATTTTTATTCTTTTAAGAACATAACTATAGCCCTCACTCTCTGCCAGGCATTATTATAATGCTTTATAGAGCTTAATATGTTTAATTATCAAATAGCGTTCAAGAATGTACTGTAGTTATCTCCACTTCATAGTAGAGAATCTAAAGCTCAAAAAATTAATGGACTTGTCCATGTCAGACAGCTAGTAGGTGATAAAGCTAGGATTTAAAACTGGAAGATTGGTTCTGGAGTCTATATTTGACCCAGTATACTATGCTTCCCTATCAGGCAAACAAAATTTAAGAATACTCAGCTGGTAAGGATATGATATGTACAGGGAGAAAAATGGGAGCAGAAGACCTACTAGAAAGATAATGCAGTAATCCAGTATACGGTATTGATGGTTTTATATTAGATGTAGGTAACAGGAAGGAAAAAAAATGAAATAGAAGTATATTAGTTATGTAAGAGTAAGTCCAAGAAAGGCAAGTTTTCTCATACTCATATAATTTATCTCGTTTTCCTCATATTTCTAGAAAATGTTTCCTCTTTCCACTTTCAGATTGTTTCACAGAAAATGTTTTCATGGAATATGCCAATTCATTTTCATTCATTACTTGTTTTACTTCTCCTGCAGTTGGGTCTTACACCATCTCAATGTTGAAAGATTGAACTGAGAGTCTTAAAGAGAAAATAAAAAGCAATTAACACCTACAAAAAAAAATAACAAACCCTTTTCCCACGTTTATTCTGGCTCTAATCCTTGTAGGAAATAATATATCTTTTTTGCACATTGAAACATCTTTAATAAGCAGAGGAACAGTATATGAAAAGCTATATGGGGAACTGGAGTTGGGGATCAGTGGTAGAATATTGGCTGTCATGTATGAGGTCCTGGGTTTGATGATCAGCACCAAGAATAAATTAATAATTAAGATTTCTTTTTGGTGGTGCAGGGGACTGAACCCAGGGCCTTGTACATGGGAGGCAAGTACTCTACCAACTGAGCTATATCTCCAGCCCATGCATGATCAATGTAAATCTGCAACCTCTATACTCAGAAAAATGAGAAAATATATCCCATCTGATAAAAATGTATGATATGTTAAGATCATTGTACTGTCATGTGTAACTAAGTAAAACAAATTAAAAATATAATAATTAAATAATTTTAAAAGAAAATCTGTATGCTCAGAGACATAGATTCCTCACCTAACAGAGTCTTTTATATATCTATTTTTGAGGAATATCTATTAGTTCTCCGTGTTTATGCTTCACAACATTACTATAAGATCCTGAGGATGTAAAGGCCCTTTCCTGGGGGCTGTTCTGTGAGTTCCCCTTATGAAGTTGGAAACAGACAATTCTGTGTTGGGACCATTCTTTGAGTGAAGACAACAATGCTCATGACAGGTCACAAGATGAAGTCCCTTGCTTCCACCAACTGTCACCCACTCCACAACTGCCACTCCTGGAATTCCCAGTGCTCAGAACCCGGTGACCTCATATTGAGGAAACAATGGAGCTGGGGCCTTCTGAGGGCTCCCATTGGTGGAGCAAGGGTGGGTGAGTTCATTCTTTCCAGAGCCACAGGCCTGGTAACAAGCTTCGTACGGATGGATTCCTCAAGCCTCAAAATGATGGATTCCTCAATTGAGGACCTAGTAATTACTGATTGTAAGTGCCCCTCTCATCCTTAGAGAGTAGGTATGGGGTGGTGGTTGCCTCCATAAAGTGCTAAGCAGTTAAGAGATAGACTCCACCATAAAAGGGAGGACTCCTCGAAGACACAGACAATGTTCTGCCCAAACATAAAAGATACATGGGAGTCCTTGTCAAGTGGGGAGTTTTGACTTCCTCAAGGACCTTGCCCTTAGTGAGATTTCTCAGTCTGAAGAATGGCATGGGTCCCGAATTGGTAGCCAGAACTTCTGACAGAGTCCGCATTAGTCATGGCCCCTGTACACCTAGTGTTCCTCATCTGTCAAAGGCCAAAGTGGCCTCTCAAGCTTTCTGCCAAAATAGCTTGGACTCTCTCAGAAGACAATGTGGCAAGTTTTGCAAGAGGGAGGGAAGGAATGAATGGATGACTGAGCCAAATCAAGGAGAGGAATGAGAAACAGTTCAGATCTCAAGCTACAGCTGTCAGACAACTTGTCTCTTTTCTTTTTCTTTTACTGCCTCAGTGTGGGACCCATTGTACTTTGTATGGCTGGGGCTGTGTGCTCTGATAATTGGTGGATGCATGATGTTTCTACACTGGAGGAAGAAGCTGCATCGGAAGGAGCGTGCCCAGCAGTGGGTGGAGGTGATGAAATCTGCAACATTCACTTACAGCCCATTCCTGTACTGGGTCAACAAACAATGCAGATATGGCATGACCGCAGCCATCAAGACAGGCCCTCTCAGGGCTGTTGCCAATGCTGAGATTAAAGTCCACATTTAAGATATTATGTGGGAGCAGGAACTCCCATAAAGACAGATGTTATGCCTTCAGAGTTAGCAGCCCCAAGGCAGAGGACCCTTTTCTCCTGCAACTTGCTTTGGTGGCCGCACAGCATCCCTTAGTTAACCCAATGCCAAATCAACAACCACATCCCCATTCCAATTGTCTTTCTGGATATACTCTCTGCCCCACGCCTCTGAAAGTCAAACCAACCTCACATGCTGCACTACTCTGCCATCTACCTATTTCTCAAGTCTCCTGAAAGGCATATCCACTTCTAATCCCTTCAGACACTGTCCCATGGGGTGAGGTATTTCAATGTGTCTCCTCTGGCTTCTCAGTTGTAACCACCTCTCACTGAAGGAGGGAGCTTCAGCTACCAGAGGTAGTAATAAAGGGAACTAACCTAGAGCATAAGATAATAACATAGAGGTCAGAGCCCATAGATTTGTTACATTATTAAAGATTTTTGAACACTGAGAATCTTTTGTGTCTCATTTGCCAGTAGGAGGGCAATGTCCTTCCCCTGTTTGATGGGGAACAAGTCTCACTAATACAATAAGAACTGGAGGATGCCTTAGAAGAAACACATTGAACCAGTACTTGTGGATGAGCTCAATTCCCTCCATCAAGTGTTAAATGTGTGCAAGATCCTTGGCTAGGTCCCCAAAGGCACTGCTATTCTATAGGATGGAAAGTACAATTGCCACAAGAGTGAAAGTTGCTGAGGGCACATGGCTCTGGCAGTCCCACAGTGCCTATGCCACTGGCCAAACAAGTCAGCATGAAGCCAATGAACCACACCACACTATGGGCTAAAGGGCTGGTATCTATTATATATTGATTTAAAAGATTTTTTATAAGATGGATACCATATCTTTATTTTTTTTATGTGGTGCGGAAGATCAAACCCAGTTTCTCCCATAGGACATGCAAGCGCTCAACTACTGAGCTATATCCTCTGCCTGATATATTAATCTTAGGTGGTAGTGCTAAGTGGTAGTGTCTGAACATTGTTTCTAATAGAAGCACAATGGAAAATGGCTATTCTAATTTTTCTTATTGATGAAATAGACAGGTTCCAAGGGCATATGTCATTATCTCCTTTGTTGGTATTATTGCTGCTGAGCCACTTCTCCCATTTATATCTGCCTGGCATTAAAGTTCCAGGTCTTTCCACCATACCTCTTGGGACCCCTTCTCTAATCATGTGTTGTTAAAACACACTTGGTGAATGCTTTATTGTGTGTAGAGTGTCATCAGATTGGACTATAGATTTGTTTAGAGGAAGGGCTAGTGCGTAGATCTTAAAATTATTCAAAGAAATACATCCATAGAGTGCTTTTAAGATATCCATGGCTGCCCTAAAGTTGAGTACCCTGCCACTCTACTATGTGAGAATATTAATTGTTGTATACTATATGGAAATGGTCCTAAGCTAATTATAAGCTATTTGGCCCCAGTTTAAAGATAAGAAAGTCTAATTCTGTCACAGACATTTTCTCCATTTACTTGGAAATTTGCAAATCCAGTCATCATATTTGATCTCCACTTTAAATTCAGATTGCCCACAGGGGTAGGGCCAGCTGTTGCCTATTTTGTGAAGCATGGTGTGTGTGTGTGAGTGTGTGTGTGTGTGTGTGTGTGTGTGTGTGTGTGT